TATTTGGAGTGTCCACCAGGAAAAATAAAGGTTCCACCACATGATATCCTCCTTGGCATTGAACAACTTTCGTCTGAAACATTTTTGCGTATAATCAATATTTTCGGAGATACTCGACTGTAACGCTTTATAATTTCCACCCTGTATAAATAATATTTAACGAAATTCTCTTATCCCGCGTCGCGTTTACAACAAGGTTGTAAAGCTCAGTACAAATATGTTCTCGACGAACGTTTCTTCGAAACAAAACTCGCCTCGATCCCGAGGTTCGATCTCCTAAACGCTTCGATTCTCCCGAACAATTTTTCCCCGAAGGATCCTCGCCGAGTTCCCGCAGACAGGAAACACGGCAGACAAGATGTCGCGAGGTGGCACGCAAGATGTCCGCCAGGGGAAAGAAAAAAAACGGGAAAATAGAAAAAAGAGGAAACAAGATGGAAGAGCGCGGCGACGACGACGTTCGAGGCAGGTCTTCCGGGAGCGCGCTGTCACTCGCAAAAAGAGGGAGCTTGTTTCTATCCGCGACGACTCGAGGAATAGATAAAGGGAGCGAACGCCGGGATGAAATATGAAATCTTCTTTCAAGAGGAAATGTAATGAGGAGGTGAAGGGAAAAAAGAAATGGATCGGCGAGCACCTCGCAACGACGTTCTTTCCGTATCGTAATCGTTTTTTTTACCCCGGGAACGCTCGTATATCGGCATTGAATCTTATTGGAGAGAGCAATCTGCGCTCCACAGCGGAAAGAATTAACAGGTGACGTCATTTTAATTGGAATATTCCGGGAAATGAAATGAAGTCGCGTGATTTAAGGGATGAACAGTGTCTAGCAACGGTTACGTTCCCTTTTACGTCGCTCGAAATCGATTGACACATTCTCTGCCATTGGAATTTTCGGTTATATCTTATATAAAGTGCACTGACCTTTTCAATGATAGGTCTACGGAACGCGTCAATTTGACGTAGATTGAATTTTAAAAGTATTATTTAGTCGACCTTTACGATTTCGATTGATTGCAATAACGCAAATGAGTGTTTTAATTAAATATCTTTGAACCTTTGATTTTCAATATCTAAATGAATGAACAATTTTCCTAAAATCAATAGAATAAACTATACAATAAACCTCCGTGAATCTAGTGTTAAGGAAACTAGCTTTTTCTGGTACTTAACACTAGAAGTACCGAGCATTTACTATAATACGATTGATATGTACTTCCTATAAAAATTGTAATATAGGTTATTCTCAGTTTCTTCAGACATTCATTATAGAATGTATTAACGATTTAAAAATTTTCTTTTAATAAACATATCAACCACAAACCAATGCAAGTTCAACCATTTGGGAACACGAATATTAAACGTGGATAATACGTTTCTAAAGATTAAAAATATTAGTAAAAATATAGTCTTTTATTGATCTAATTAGTCATTACCACTTAATACAAATATTCAATGCTTTTAAGATATTAATTGCGAGACAAACAAGTCGGAACCAGTCATTTTGACTGCTACGTAGTTCTACTGTTAAGTTCAAGCTTTCGCTGACTTTTAATATATTTTCATATTATTTCTTTACGTTTTTGTTGTTTCGCGACGTGTTCCATTCTTTGACAGATGTCTCGCGAAACATGTTTCCTTACGAACATTCCGGAGTGTGTTAATTACGGTTTCAATCGAATTTAGGGTTTCTTGGACGATGCATCCGTTGAATTCGTAGTTGATAAGTTGATTTGATTTCGTAGTTGCACTTGTCAGAACTTTTCGTTAATAACACTAGCAAAAAAGATTCTATCCTCTTTCTGTATCTAGATCTACTCTATACCATACAGATTGCTAACAAGAAGAATAATGTTACATTCGAACTTGAAGGAACTAAATAATATTTAGGTTTGTTAAATTAGAAATCTTCACTACGAGTCTGACACGATATTGTAGGGCAAGGGGTTAACCCTAGTTAACCCTTGCACTTCAGAGGCGCCTCAATTGACTTGACAAATTGTCAAGTTTAATATTAACTATCAAACTTTGATACAACATTATATGAAATATTGAAAAGAATAGTTTCATTCATCAATGAAAGAACTGATTAGAAAATGTTGAATATTTCCAGTGGAAAATTTCTGGAGTGCGAGTTAACCATTTGCAGACGAAGATTCTTCGAAATGTACGAAACCTTTAGCAGTTGAAGTTAAATTATACATCGATTGCTTAATTAATAGGAAAAAAGTAAACTACGTGCTGATCTCTTACTGTTTGACTAATTAAATCATTTGTTTGCGACTCAGTCTTCCAAATGTGAACATCTGACACCGAAATGTCGACATTCGACCGCAAAGGGTTAAGTTACTTCGTGTGAACAAAAAGGGAACTTTGTTCGAAGAATCATTTTTCTCAGAAAAAATTGATTACTCGTTCATTGATGAGACATGATTAATTTACTAAACGTTTCATTTGATTTTAGTACAGTTGCTAAACTAATAGACATCCGACGGTTTCAATTGTAAATCGAACTTGATGCATGCAGTTCGTTTCCTTGATAGCAATGCAGATTTCTGCATCACCCTGTACGTTAACGAACTCTGTGCCCTGCAACGCGGTACTAACGAATTCAACGAGCAAATATCCCCAATTAATCCGGGTCCCCAATATTTCGAGCTCGTTTCCCCGTTCCCCGACGCACCGGATTATCCGGACTCGTCTGTTTTCGTTGTTCGTTGCCCAAACAAGAAACCAGAAAACTTGTCAGTTTTCCGCCAAACAGAAGAGTCGATGCGTTATCGTCGACGACATCCGTCCGGACGATTTTAATTGGCTGAGGCCGATTTTCCGTGGAAAGAGAATCGAGAATAGGGAGACCGCTGAAAATAATCATCGAACGCGAGTTCATTCTGTGAATATTCTAAATTATCTGAACGATCAACATTGTTTTGCACGTAAGAATACTGTCTCTGATTACTTCTAAATGATAATTAATTGTATAGTATCTTTCTAATCTAACTCCTCCGTTGGAAATTTACGTTCACCGTTCGACAAATATTTGATCGAATATTTTTGAGGGATATGGTTCGCAGACACAGTCTCAAAGGCCACTCTAAATCCTTTTAATCTTCTGTAACGAGTAGTGACTCTGGAATCGCTGTTCGTTTACATTGCTTTAAGCCTATTATCGTTGATAAAGTTATGCTGTTATCGAATTTAAAGCCCTTTATAATCTTGCTTAAAGCCTTGAACTTTATCCCTGCTAATTACTGAACATCCTGAAGAATCAAATGTACTTTTAACACAATTGTGCAAGAAACTCTCCTTACATTAACAAGAGATTGCGCAAGTTTTCCATCAACCGACATAAATTCGAAGTAAAGAAGTATTCGTTCGAATCGTCAAAGATTTCACTCCGAGCAGAGCAAAAGAAAAGATCTCGGAGCATGGTAAATTTTTCCTGTTGCAATTAGCTCAACGCAAAATAAATCTAGTAGATCATCTTTGTTTACAGAACCGTATAAACACGTATTTGTATGCATACGGTTTTTACACTGCGCAACTATGCATCGATATTCGATCGGCGTATATATACGGCAGCAGCGGCGAGAGGGTAATTTATACCGATTCAATTTTTATGCGCGTCGTTTGTTCCGGACCACATTTAAAAAAAAAAGAGCGAATCGATTCCAGTTACGGGGGGTTAAATGGAACACGCTGTTTCCCGTTGCGGTAATCAAAGAATCATAAAACCGCAGATAGAAAGGTCCATTCCCCATCAGACTAACGCGATAGGGTGTACTCGGCACGAATTAATGGGGTGGCGAAAGTGTCCGTATCGAGACACGCTTAGAACGATGATTATAAGCATTCAATTTCATTCTAATCGAATATCTCACGTGTATGCGTCAGAGATGGCTCAGAGATTCGGGGAAGGAATCGAAGATCTGGATGATCGGATCGAAAGTTTGAAGAATGACAATCGAAGAATCGAATACTTGTAGAACGATCGAGTAGAAAATCCGACGGAAAATTAAGGATGGGGACTGGTTAAATGAAAGATTCGAAGAACAGTCAGTTGAAAAACTGATCGAATCCAGGACTGATTGTGAACGAGCGAATTAATTAAATCGAAAATCGAATCTAATCAAATATCTTACCCTAGATAAACCAAACGGACGTTTCAAAAGAAAAACAGCCACGCAAAGTGCCACCCCGTAACTACTTCATCCCCAAAGTCTCCAGCAGCAACCGTGAGTCCCAACATCCCGAAACTCCCAGCAAGTCAGCGAACTAACGAACGCGCCCCGAAAACCTCCACGTCCGATCCCGAAGCTAACATCGGGAAACCTCCAACAGGTTAACGAAACCTCGTACAGCACGGGTATGCTACCCCGAAAAACCATCGCGATTGGTCAACCGTAGGAAGGAAAGAAAGAAGGTCAGCGAGGAATGATCGCGAAGGGGTCGCGTGGCCTCGGCCTTCGACATCTCGCGCTCGTTCGTGGAAGACGGACGAGAAAGAGCCGCGTGAACGTTCTTCCAGCCGCGGGGGTGGCTGGGAGACGAGCGAGGCACGGCGGGAGGGGTGCAAAAGTGTAC